GGTTTGCCAAGCGGAATTTGTCCCGATATCCTAACCACCGAACGGAGGAAGATTTGGTGCTGTACAGCTACAGCTATTTACCACCGATCCAAATGCCGAAAAATCTTTGTACAACACTCTCCCATAATGTCGAATCCGTAAATCGATTCCCATTTTTTTTTTAAAAAAAAATCTTTTCAAACTGCTCCTACAGCCAACCACCGATTAATCTTTTTTTGGACGGCCAGGAGAGCTCCTAGATTGTTTTCATTTTCGAGTTCCCTCTACCAACTGACCCTGCTCAGTATTGCATTACTGACTTTCAGAAGTCTTACCATTTATCAATGCCAACAACTGGTCCTAAATCCACTTTTTTGCCATCGACGCCTTCCCATGGGAGAAGTAATTTTCATCAGGAAATTTCCTCATAGCAAAATCCTCGCTCTCCACTTTACATGAAGAAATGCTTGTCAGTATATGTAACCAAAGGCCAGTTTACTGTACAACAATTTTAATCACTTGAAATGCTCGATTACGATGGGCCGGCGTGCAGGTTGTAAAAAAGTGCATGCAGGTGCAGACTAGTATCCCTAGGTGTAACCTTAGGTACTTGAGATTCTCTCTTATGGTCGTAAACCTAAGCCACGCCCCCATCTACTGTCGATCCGTCTTCTGATCGAGCTGATCAGTCGTCAGTCTGGAGTTTTGCCGAGCTCACGGGATGTGAGCAGATCGGTCTCTCTCGGAAAACGAGAGGGGAGTTTCCCGAGATCGTTGCGGACGATTAGGCGATTAACTCTACGTGCTAGAGGGCTCCCCCTGACTCCGAAGCGTCGCCCGATGCGAGCTTCGTTCTCTTCACACCAGTTGAAGAGTGGATCTTTCCCCGTGTGGAAAGCAGTGGTGCAGTAGTTCGTACAAACGACTACAGATGCACGTTGGCCTAAGCGTGGCTCACGCGATGGCGCCCTCGGGCCAGAGGAATGACATTGAACATCCTCGGCGAGAAGATGGTTCAATGTACAAGATGGCAGGTGAATTGCGGACAGTTCCCGTTCCCTAGCTTGGTTAAAGCCATAGAATCTATAGTATGCAAAATAAATGGTTAATTACGAAAGTGTGTTGTGTTTTGTAATTGGGTACGGTCAATCGTCACAGCTGTTACATAACACCCACTACTGTCACGAAACTTTGGAGCTCTTGCGCGGTTCCAACATGGGGGCCAAGCCGGTGACAGCTAAGTAATTGACCTTTTATCTGCTGATTGCCAAGATCGATGGCGAAATGTCGCCAAGAGTGCGGATTCGCCACTGGCAAATAAGCGAGTGGTCGCATCTCACGGACGTTGAGAAAGAACTCGAAAAGAGTGTGCTTTTCTATGGTCTACATTGATTCTTTTGGACGGAATCCACCAAAGAAGGAGGGGCGATCCTCTGTTTATCGGAGCTGTAGTGTGCAGTAGGTTGAGACAATAGCAGAACTTTTGTTCTGTGCTCGGCCGCTCCGAATAAGATAAACGCAGGTTAGCGATCACAGACGAAATCAATATACGTGAGAATAATGCAAGTAGTTCTGGTCAATGAACACGAATTGCATTTGGTATGTTCTGGGTAATGAACAAAAACCACGACCGTCTAGACAGATTGAGAACATAGTTGAAGCGAACCACACTTGAATGCTGCAGTTTGGGTAATAACTGGCACACGGCTTCAAGTTGATTAATTCGGTCCTAAGTTATCACTTGGAGAATTAGTTCAGTGGGTTTCGAGATTTCCTATGTAAGGATGCCTATCCAGGCAAAGAGCACATTTTTCGCGGATGTGTGGAGTCTGACGAGACTATAAATACGGTCAAAACTAGCAATGGATTCTTATGGATTCCACGATGGACTCAGAAGAAATAACGTGGAGCGTGTCGACGAGGACTCAACAACAACGAGCAGTTTTTCCGATGGCTTCATGAGTTCCCATGCTGCCCCTTTCTAAGTACCTTTCTAGTAGAATATTGTAACAATTCTGTTTCTCTAGTAGATTCGCATTCCATTTTGTAATGTAATTTTCCTCTCAGTCGTCCTCACTTTTTGTCACCCTGACCCACACGCAATACGTGTAGTGAGCAATTTGCATGGTCGGTCCGACATGCGTGGAAGATCTGCCAGATTTTTATGAAAGCGTAGTGGAAACGCTTATTCTTTGAGGACCCCCATGTAGTATATGGGTAACCTTAGTCAGTTTTACTGTATCATCCAAGTTTAGATAACTTGTGAGTAATATCTCGGATTGAGATGGGGCCGCGTGCAGGTAAAAGTGCAGCAGTGGCAAGACGTATCCTAAGTTAACCTTAGACGAGATTTCTCAAACGGTCGTAAACCTCAGCCACGCCCCTATCACTGCGTCCGTCTTCCGACGAGCGCAAAATCAGTCGTCTGAGTAAGCGCGAGCTCACGGGATGTGAGCAGATCGGTCTCTCTCGCGGAATACGAGAGGGAGTTTCCCGCGAGGTTGCGGACGACTAGGTGATTAACTCTACGTGCTAGAGGGCTCCCCCTGACTCCGAAGCGTCGCCCGATGCGAGCTTCGTTCTCTTCACACCAGTTGAAAGAGTGGATCTTTCCCCGTGTGGAAAGCAGTTGTGCAGTAGTTCGTACAAGACGACTACAGATGCACGTTGGCCTAAGCGTGGCTCACGCGATGGTCGCCCTCTCTGTTCAGAAGGAAGTGTACGTTTGAACATCCTCGGCGAGAAGATGTTCAATCGTAACAAATGCAGTGAATTGGCGGCACACCCAGTCCCGTCTCCCTAACCTTGTCAAAGCCTAAAAACCGTATCAGATTCTAGCCTCTTTTGATGTGACTGGCTCATTGCCAATTCATCATTTTGTATATAATGCAAATAAATGGGTAATTACGAATAGTGTGTTGTGTTTTGTAATTGGGTACGGTCAATCGTCACAAGCTGTTACATAACACCCACTACTGTCACGAAACTTAGGAGCCTCTCCGCGGTTCCAACACTTTTGACAAAATTAAAGCTCTCGACCATTCCACGAACATAAGTTAGAATCATCCAATAGTCTCAAGATTTCTCTAGTTTGCCATTGGTGCTCATCTTGAGGCATCCCGTATCTGCTTGGTCTTGTGCCAAACGCTTGTATGACTAAGCCCGACTTGCGGAACGTTCGGCGCTTTGAGAAGCAGCAACGCGTGGTCGCTCTTCGACCTCATGATAAGCGGTAATAATCGTTTCCGGTTGTGATCATAGCGCTATCATTTCGGACCACACATCTGGAGGCTCTCCGCTCTGTCAACAGTCTCTCGTTCTCTTCGTCACCTCGAATTTCTGGACGTCACCCACGCATGGACCCATCAGAACAGTCACAATCCTCCGACATGACGGGATTCACTGACACTGCTCCCAGGTATGTCACTCATTCTCGACCAGCTAGCGGGTCATCGTACTTTTCTGTATTTAGTTTACCCTGTTTCAATGAAATTCCAATCCCAGGAGTATGCCACCACCACTGCCACCACGCCTTTACGCTTCCATGAAGCCCGTCTGCTTCTGTCAACCATCTTCATCGGAAAAGTGTCCGATCCAACAAGTAAGTGTTTCTTCGAAATATCCATAGTATGCGATATCTACGTTTTTATGAATAATGGAGGAAAGTGAAGAGAATTTTATCAGCCGAACGGTTATCGCTCCCTATTCATAACTTGGTCATTCGAACCTTTCAAAATGAAATCCATTTAGGAAACTATGAAATTTCCTGAGCCTTTCAATCTTTTTCCTCACGGACTTGAAGTACCAGCGAGTGATTTTGATGCAAATTCTGTCGGTTTCGTCGACATTGAACAACTGAGAGAGTTGGAGGAATTGGTGAGTTATTCCTCGGATTACATGTTGACCCTTCTTAACCCTTTCGGACCTGAATTTTTTTCCCGTGGAGAAATTTTTTTCTAGCTATTGTTTATTACTTGTGAGCATATAGTATCATTATGGCGAAATTTGGAAGCTATTCGATCACAAACTAAGAAACTAGGAAGCTTTGAAAATTGGCCACCTTCTTAGTTTTTAGCTTATGTCGAAACAATTCCAAATTTCTTAGTTATGCGAAAAAGTTTATAATCTTGCACAACATTATATCTAACGTTTTTGATAAGAAATTGAATATATGTCAAGTATTTTAGAAATGATTGACACTTACCTAGCAGCTTGCTGAGACCAGCGCCGATTCATTGTTGCACTTGTACACAAATACTTGTAATGCTAACAGCAACACACAATGAAATGGCAGGTTCAAAGCATAATTAGGAAGGGGAAGGTTGACTGAAGCAACCTCTAGCAGGATTAGAAAAATATGCTGTTGCAGCGGTAATGCAAGCGTTTGAATTTGATGGTAGGCAATTGCCACCGCCAGGGCTAAAGGATTAATCGCCTAACCCGACCGCTTTTTGTTTATCAGCTCTTGATGCATGCAGAGGCGCACCAAGTACATTTCCCTGGCCGAACTTAGCCCAATCTAGTCAAAAATTCCATAAGTGTTTGATTAACCCCTTTCGGACCTGAATTTTTTCCATGCAGAAATTTTTCTTCCATAGATATCATTAGAGCAGAATTTGAAAGCTATATGATCACAAACCAATGAATTAAGAAGCTTTGATATTTTGTTCAGGTTGTGGGGACCAGCGTCGACTCATTGTTGCACTTGCACACAAATACTTGTAATGTTTATCGAGTAATTAATCGGTTGACTGAAGCAACTCTAGCAGGATTAGAAAAACCATGCTGTTTCAGCGGCAATGCAACATTTGAATTTGATGGTGGCAATTGCCACCGCCAGGGCCGAAAGGGTTAAACAACCGTACGTGTAAATTAAGGAGAAAATGAAGTCTGGAATAAACATGAAGTGTTATTCATCTCAGTAAGTGTAGACCATTATGAGGCTTAGTCAATTGACAGTGTAATGCGTGACGCATTTCTTGAATATTGTCTGTACGGGAAACCTTGTCCCTACTTTTCGAAGTGGTATTATACAGGTGCGTGGACATGACACTCGTTAACTGCACAACTTTTTTTTGGGACCGTAATCACAACAAGACTAATTGCTTCCACATAGTGCGCTGATAAATGCCTAACGGGGTTGAGAACAAGAATACTCACAGGTATTCTTTTGCTTTGTTCAAGCATTGACCAGCAGTTAGACCATGAGCAATTTAAATCCATTATGGAAGCAAATCCAACTGAAATCTTTCCCTTCTTCGGTTCACTGCTTTTTTTAGCTAAGTCTCGCACTGGTGACTGTCACGATAAGATTTCGTCGAAGGTCTGAAGACGTCCCGGCTGACATTGCTTTCCTCGTGAAGGATATGCGGCTTAAGCTTGCCCTCCCTAGTTTGGCGATGACTCACGGCTCCCTCTGGTCTCGGTCGCTGCCCCTTCCCTCCCGTGCCGCTGCCCCGCTCGACCCCCTGCTTCTCGCCGGCCGTCTCGCCCCTGACCGACGCGCAATTGGCAGCGAAAAATTTTTGACCTCGGCGATCTAGCATGGCTCACTCTTGGCGCGGTTGGCGGGGTACGCCCACCGACTATCTAATCACTCGCCGCAGGTCTATACGTGACGAGTGATTAGATAGCAGAGAGAGCGTAGTGTTGAAGAGGGCACAGCGTATGAAGAATGAATGAACGATATGAACAGCGAAACAACGCGGTAGAAGAGGATCCCCATACTCGGGTTCTGAACAGTTTCTCATGATTTTTCCTTCTTTCTTGTACCACTCACCATCCTTAACTTACTTTGAACTGGGCTGCTTTTTCATCGTAAATTCTGGCTTCAAGTAGAACAGCTCAGAGGAAGCTTTCGGGAATATTTTTTGTGGTGCGCGCAAGGAACATTGAATTGCGCTCGAGCTAAAGCAAAAACGAATTATTAATCCGATTGATTATTCGTAAAAGAGCAGCTTCAGCATTTTATTTTGCATCGTTTTTAGTTCCTAGGACATTATTATGATGCTTCAAAAAAGACAAAAGTGAAAAAAGAAAAAAGTAGTCGGCATTGATGACTCTCCAGTTCGGATAGCCACACGATCGATTTAAAGCGAGAGATTACGATAAAGTTTCTGTGCAGCATGGAAGAACGAGCAGCACTTCAAGCAGTAGCTAGAGCCCAAAGGAATCGAGATGTGGCCTTTTTGTGACTAAAGGTGCGCTCGTTGCAGCGCCCTGGGGCTGCCAATCCTTTCTGAGCTCCGCCTCCGCCTGTGCTCCGCCCCTCAGCAGATCGCTGTTCGATTATCATTTGATAAGGTATGCCACTTCGAGCGCGTATCCAATAACTTTCTCATGGAATGCTTTATCAATCAAGGTATGATCTCTGGTGGTATGATGGCAGCTATGGTTTAACGAGTGCCGACGACCTCTTAGTTGGTTGCCAACTCGTCCATTATCGGAGGTCAACGGGCAGAGGAAAGTGGTCCCATTTTGCGCGTTTTGACGGATTTCTTTGCTTTTTTCGCCACTAGGGCATTATTCAGCATCTCCACTTCCACTATGAACCAGTCCAATCTATCGTAATCTCTCGCTTTAAAGGCATGCCCCAGGATCACATTGGTGTGGCTCTTGCACACGAATGCGAATGTATTGGTGCGAAATGGGCCGGCAGTAAAGAAAAAAGGAAAAGAATCCGTCGAAAACGCTTAGGTTAAGGGCTCACTCACCTTCCTAATCGGCTGTGCTAAGGGAATGAGAGACTAAGCGCGGAGAGGAGAGTATGAGGCGAGAGAGCGCTACAGATGAGAGAGCGCCAGACAACAGCCTGATAAGAGAAAAAAATCTGCAGCTTCAGCAGCTTACTTTGCAAGGCCCAAGCGCTCTTGTCGGTTGGTTTCCGTGCACGGGAACGCCACATTTGTGATTGTCTCTTTTCTTTAGCCACAGTCAACTATGGTGCCGAACAGTCACCCCATTAGGGAAACGATGATTGCTTGAGAGTCTGATATTCGACCCCAAAACTGTCATTTTGGCGGTTTGTGTCACAGCACAAACTCCGCTCCTTATCAAACTCCCACATAAAAAATGCTGCTGGAGAGGTTTCTACGTGTTATTCGGCAAATCCATAAAGGACTCCGCTTGCGTAGCAATTTCTTATGGTAACTTGCATAGGAAGTCAACGATCGTTCACCGTGATAAGCGTGCATATTACAGATTATTAGTTTTTGTGCTAGGTTAACGATGGCTTTCAGATAAGTGACTCTCGATGAAACGACGAATTTCTGCTGTCGAATGAGGGACATCTAAAAACACCTAAGCTACGAGAGAGGGA